TTTTATATCCTTGATATCTTTGGAACCCAAAACTGTAAGAGTAGAATTTCAGCAGGTCTGGTCTTGCTGAAGTACTAGGGGTGCTTTCGAGGGAGTCCAGATTCATTTGCCCTCAGTCAGTTCAACATCCAAGCCTGTGTATCACTGCACATATCTTATGGGGCACGGAAGAAACTCACCTTGTCTTGCACCATTTGCCTAATCATAGAATCATAGAATAGTTAGGGTTGTAAAGGACCTTAAGATCATCCAGTTCCAACCCCCCTGCCATGGGCAGGGACACCTCACATTAAACCATATCACCCAAGGCCTCATCTTGAACGCTGCCAGGGATGGAACATTCACAACCTCCCTGGGCAACCCATTCCAGTGCCTCACCACCCTAACAGGAAAGAACTTCTTCCTTATATCCAATCTAAACTTCCCCTGGTTAAGTTTTAACCCATTACTCCTTGTCCTATCACTACAGTCCCTAATGAAGAGTCCCTCCCCAGCATCCCTATGGGCCCCCTTCAGATACTGGGAGGCTGCTATGAGGTCTCTTTAATCCTAAAGAAAGCACCTAAGATAGTTTGGATAACAGGGAACAGGATGCAAGAGAGCATGCTTCCACCTCAAAGGCAGGAATGCTTTCAACAACAGGCATTTTTAACAGTTTTTCTGTGAATAGCTCCTGTGTCAGAGCTGAGCCCAGGACAGACTGCACTGATGTGCTGACAATGGGAGGTGGTTTCTCAAGCCTTTGCCAACACGTGCAATCCATCCCGGCTGCACTGCAGCATGAACTGTGGGCTGATTCTTCCCCACCTTATGCTATATTTACTCCAGTACAGGCTCTTGGACATCTCAGATGTCATCCCACCTTGAACCAGAGCAAGGGAGAGGTGTCAGGTCCTGCCGGGGTAACCTGTTGATGGACTGCATTGTTGTAGCCATTTAAGGATCCCAAAGAAGTGACTCAAACGAGGTGGAATTAACCACAGATCTGAATTTGGCATTGCCTCTTATTCACAGGTGGGTATTTGCCCTGCTGGGGCTCCACTGTCTGCCTGCAGAGCGCAGGAAGGCGTCTGCTGGCAGACTGAGGAGCTGGGTTTTCCAAGTCCAACCATGATGGTGATGCTTCCACGTGCTGCCATGTGGCTGTGCAGGCACTGGCACAAACACCTGAGCTTCTCCAGCCATAAAAAAAGACACAAACTCTTTGAGGGGCTGTTGGCAGAGGAAGGGAGATCCCAGATGATCTTCAGTGGCTTCCCATGTCCAAAGTTGGATCTTTCTCCTTGTCAATCTGCTTAGCTTCCCATCAATCTCCTTCAGGTTTGGTACCCAACCCCTCAGCCCTCCTCCTGCCAGTCCCGGCCTCTGGTGTGGCAGTGAGGGGTTCAGTGTTTATAGGAGAGAAAGGGATATTCAAAAGTGGGGTAAAACTGCGACTGTGCAGTGCTATGGGGACATGTAGACTCATGATGGATGCTATAAAAGATCTGGATCTGGGTATTTTCAGAAGGGCAGCTTATGATCCAGCGTAATGCTGTATTAATAGGCAGTGAGAATGCAGAGCTGTGACAGAGAGACTGACAGCTTTTGGCAGTAGATTTTGTACTTGGGTATCTAAATGTATCCCTCGAAATTCCAGTTTAGGCAACCAGACAAACCTGGGCTGACGTGCTGAAAATTGGCACCCTCTTAACATCAGCATCACGTTTTCACCCTTGTTTTTCTTTGATGATTCTGAGCTAAAATGGTCAAGGCTTGGGGACAAACTGTGTTCTCACGTGTCCATCAAATCTGGGTGTGCCCCACCAGAACCGGGAGCTGCTTTTCTAATTGCAGTGGATTTGCTGCTGTTGGAGTTGTAGTCACAATTAAGGAACCTAGTTTAACCCCTTGAATAAGTGGAGGTGATATAAATAGTTTACTTATTTCTGTGTGGTACCCAGAGCATGAGGAATTTGGGGACCTCTTACTGTGTGCAGTTGGTACCTTCTTGCTTGAGAATCACCTGGCTTGTGAATTTGACTGGTTTACCCTTGCCAAGTCTCCTTGTCTTTATAGCTTTTAGGTATGGTATTAGCCCTTCACTTGAGAAGCCACTCCAGATGCTATGGTGAGACCAAAGCTTTGTCCATTCTCACATCCCCTGCTGTCTCTCTGTATCTCAGTGCTTGTGGATGCTTCCCCAGAAAGCCTATGTGCTTTACAGAGCACCCATAAACCATTTACAATGTTATCTAATTATTATTGCTTAATTTAGCAAATTCTTCAAAATCATGTGGTTGCCTCCAGCAATTAGTGGTGTTCCTCATCATGCGGTGATTCAGCTGAACAGAATTGGCTCCGGGCAGGGAGTGAGAGCGGGTGTAGATGGAGGCTGGGAATGTGCAAGGACCAGACAGCAGGGCTGGCCCGAGGGTGTGAGCGTGTCCTGCCCAGGGGCAGAGCTTGCTTTGCTTTAACTTCAGTTATTTTAGCTGGTTTTGCTCTAGAAAAGCAACTTGTGTGCTGAACTCTTTATTTCGTTTTGATTAAGCTGATTCTTCACCCGGCTAAAGCAAGACGTGTGTTTAAAGTGAAATCAAAGTGCACTAAGCTTTGTATACACCAAAGAGCTGGAGTTATTTTTTATGTCAGATCTTTGGCAGCAGAGGCATGGCTTTCTCGAGGAGGCCAGCTCCGTGTGCGTGCATAGAGAGCAGGAGTGGTGGGGCAGGGTGTCCCTGCTCTCACGAGAAGCTGTAAAACACTGGTACAGGCTCAGTCTGTAGCTGGAATGGCTGGGAAAATGAGAGGAGACTGAAAAAGGCTATGGGAACACAGATGTGTCTGAGTATTTAATGAGCCATCCACATAGCTCATGGTTAACCTGGAGTGGTAAAATGAAGCAATAAGGGCACTGGTTTGCCCATCAGGAGCATTGGTTTGTCCATGGGCGGCAATTGGTTGCCCTGGGTGGTACTAGGATGCCCAAGGGCTGTTTGGCCAAGGGATCAAGTTGCCCACAAAGGCACAGAGTCTGCACTGGGCTGCCCAGGGCTGGCCCCATGTTGCCCATCGAGAGCACTGCGTTGCCCAGTGGCTGCATCAGGTTGCCATAGCAGCGGCAGGGAGTTGCCCTGCGTAGAACCTGGTTGCTGAGCACCCTGTGCCCATGGCAATGCTCCCCTGGTTCTGTGTCACTGACACCAGGGATGCTTCAGTGCCTTATAGTGCTGCCACCGAGCCTGAGTAGCAGCCCTAGACACCCCTAAACCCTGGAGTGCATCTCACACCCAGGTGAGAATCTGGGACTAAACAGCAGGTATTTCTCCTAATCCCCCCCCAGTATCTCTTATATCATCCAAATGTACCCAAGCTAGGTGGTTGGTGGCTCCTGATGTGTGTCTGTCTTCAGGGGTGGTAGAAAGTATCCTGGAATTGCTTATCCCAAGGGGGATGCAGGGGTGTTTATTTCAGCTGGAAATGCAGGGAATAATAACTCCAGTCCATTCCTGAGGGTTTTTCCTTCCTTCTTAAGGAAGGAAAAGGGGATTATTTGCAGGGGTGTGAGCCAGGGGTAGGAGCCAGGGTCTCCCCCTCTCCAAATGCAGTTTCTCAGGTATTAATAAGCGGTGCAAAGCTCGGGCATGCATAGGGGTTTATCCCTAGCAGGGACAAAAGGGCTGAAGGCACTGGTTTGTGGGAACCAGCACACACAGTGGTTTTTGTTGGACCTGAGCACAGACATTTCGTCCTCGGTTCTGCCAAACTGGCTCAGAGGGGTCGTGTTTGTGACAGCTCCTTTGCTAAATGCGAGGGTGTGAGCTTCCCACTGCTGATCCCACAGGCTCTTCGGCCAGGATGGATCTGGGGGTGAGACTCAGTGCCTGCAGCTATGCTGCTGTCAAGGCAGGTACTGGGGCAGCCCATGCCAGCATGGCCAAAATTGGGCAAGCCTTGAGAAAGCAGTCCTCAAAGTTCAGTGATTTCCCAGCTGTAAGCTGCACACTTTTCCCCTCTGACTCATCCCTATTTTTCTCCAATTTGCCTTAGCCAAAGGAGTTATTCTCCTGCATTTCCCATCTGTTTATTTAATACTGCATTTTGAGACACTTCGTCTGAATGCGTCAAAGCTTTACAGGCACCGGTGACACAAGAAGTCTCTTAGGTCACCTCTCCCCATAGCTAGATGTTAGAAAACATGTACTTTAATGAGTTGTGTGGTCTGCTCATTGCCTGGTGTAAAAGGGAATGGCTCCAAGAAAGTCAATGAGCTGCGAGTGGCTGGCATTAGGGGGTTACAGCAACAGGCAGAGCCTGCCTGGCTCTGTGTGTCTCCTCCCATCTATTGCCTTTTAAGCTTTCCAAGTAGGCAAATGTGAGTCCTTGGTCCTGCCTTTGTGCAGCAGTCTTTTGCAGAGGTGACTAAGATGAAAGAAACGCTCTTTATCGAGGGTTTTATGATTTTAAAATCAGCTCACCTACAGACACAAAGTGCTCAGGGTAGGCCAGGAGGAGCGATTAAACCTCTAGTCATGTGATTACTTTGTTCTAGAATAAAAGTCAGTTTATGTCACGCAAACATCCCTCTTTTAAAGGATTAAAGTTGATCTCATCCTTTAACAAACAGGATTTAGCACGTGCATCACATCAAACCCTACTCCCATCCAGGGATCTTCTTGTAGCTCACGAGTGTCCTGATCTTAGTGGAGGGACACGTCCCTGCAGCACGGCAGCTGGCTGCAAGAGCCCTCGTAAGGGATACCTGTAACCAAACAAGAGCTTCATACCGAGCACAACATAACCTAACACCCCATTAGGTGTGTTAGGTACAGTTAATGGTCCTTACATTACATTTCTGATTAGAATTGAGTGATAACCTGAATCTGGAAAGAGCAATAAGCACCCACATTGCCGTATGCAGTTACTGGTAGCAAGATCTTGTGTGGTCATTCCTCCTAAGGTTACTGCAAGGGTGGTGTTTATGAGCTGCTCTGAAAAGACTCTGGGATATTTCCTTTCCAAGTGCATTTATTGTACATCAGGTGAGCCACAGACATGTTCCTTCCTTTGCAAGCCAAGAGATTGCTGTTCCTTTTAGGTTGAAATACTTGAGGGGGCGTTCAAATTTGGGTACAGTCCTGCAAAGCTCAGCTCACCTGCAGCCTCCTCACTTGAGCAGGTAATGCAATTGAAGGTAGAGATGATGAGGATGAAGTCCCTCACACACCAATCATGCTGTGTTGGTTGCAGATGTGTGTCCAAAGCTATCAGGGCTGGTAATGGAACTTTTAAAGAGAAAATAGTATCTGGAGTACTATAAGATCAGCAGATACCCCGGCCAAAAGAAACAAATGAACAGCCCAGAGTCAGCAACTACAGTTACACTGGATTGACAGATTTAAGGAAGATGAAGGCATAATACCTGTCACTCTCCTTAGCAGCGATGATTTGTTTCTCTCCACATTTCAAGACCTGATGCTAGATACTAACAACGAAGTCAAATCCTTATGTATACAAGTGCTTGGGATTCTGGCAGAAGGAATTTGCTTTCAAGAGTTGTAGGCCTGTGCAGGGGATGTGCGGGTGCTGTGTGCTGCTGCTTTGTATTATAAGTTGCATACATTGCTGTAAGAAGTAACCCAAGTGCAGGAGCTTACTGAGTGAGGTTGTCATCTTCTGTCTCCTTTGTGCAGGACACATACTTGAGTAGCAGAGCAGTGATCAAGAATGGAGCTGGTTGGCTCTCCTTTAACTGCAACGCATGCTCATCCAAGATCAACACCTAACAAGTTTCTGCCTGCCATAAGCACCATGGCTTCAAGCTATAAGAACCGTTTTCCTTACTACCCTTTGCCTCAGACCTTCAGCCTCCCCTGGATGCCCAGAAGCTACTATAAAACAGCTGCCATCAACCCAACTTTGGCTCCCTTTACCAAATGTGCCAAGGGGGTAACCCCTGACAATACACTGCCTTTTGTTCGCAACAGAACAGACCTCTTCACCCGCTACACCCCTGAGGACTGGTACCAGTCCAACATGACCAACTACAAAGAGTCGGAGAACTCGCGTAGAAACTCGGAGCGCCTGAGAAATGATACCTGCCGCATGATTCAGGATAAACATCAGCAGACAATGAAAACCCAAGGAGAGAGCACCAAAAACCTGGGAGTACGTGTCAACGATATAGGATTCTGGAAGTCCGAGCTCTGCCATGAGCTGGATGAGATGATCAAGGAGACCAGGGCGCTCACAGATGTGAAGAAACGACTGGAGAGAGCCTTGACTGAGACAGAGGCCCCTCTACAGGTAAGCACCTTGTCCAATAGGCTGCAGGCTGTAACCTACAGCTAAAACATCTGCAGCCATTCAAACATCTGATCAAGTTTCATTACAGCTCTGTAACATCTAGAAAGCTTTTATTAAGAGACCATTAGTTAAGTTCGTAATAAACAAATCCCTTGCCGTCTGCTGCATCCCCTCTCAGCACATGCTGAGCACGTCAGAACAGTATTTGCTTAACCAAATATTTTTATAATCAGTATATCCAAAACCCTGGTTTGGGAGACAAAAGCCCATGTCCTACTACAAGGCTCTGGCGAGGTCAGCATCAAGCCTGACACAGGTCCCTGCATTCAGCTGTGGTTGCACCAGGGAGACGTGTGTTCCCTCATGTTGATTTAATGCTGATGTTGCAGCTGGGCTGCTCATTGTCAGCTAAAGCATCTCCCCTGGGTACATTTTAACCCATGATGTCATCTCTATGCCCACCCATAATCTCTTTCCTTACCTTATTTGACATGGGGACCACCCCTGTAGGGAGCACTGGCACTGATGCATGTCCTCAACAGGTTGCTCGGGAGTGCTTGCTTCACCGGGAGAAGAGGATGGGCATTGACCTTGTCCATGACGAGGTGGAGAAACAGCTCTTCAGAGTAAGTTTGGCAACACAGATCATGCGTTAAAGTTATTTTTACCTAAACTACCCTAAATAGGTTTTGCAGCCCTGATCCCTCATTGGCTCCCTAATGCTGGTGAGGTGCTAAAAACTCTTCAAACCCCCGAAATCCACTGGACTGGGGCTGTGTTCCCCCATGCAGCAGCATGAACTTGCAGGGCAGGCAAGGCTTGCCCTTACGGAGGAAGGAATAACTGAGAACAAGCTGTCTGCTTGTGTAATGTATTGGGGTCCTCTGTCCCTCTTTAGGGAATTTATGAGTCTGTCCTGCCTTTTAGAGCCCTGCCAGCACAGGATCTATACGTATCTGTATCACATACATATGATGTGTGTCTATATCTATATCCCATACATACATCTATATATATTTAACACACATGCACACACAGATATGGAGATGACAGTGTGTGCCTGACAGCTTGTCTGCTTTTGCCAACTATATTAGCTGCTCTAATAAAAGATATTACATCTACCCCCAGCTTAGCTTTGCTTTGCTCAGAGCAGCGTGGCTGCAATAGGACTTTGTGTGCTCAGGCAATGGGTTTTATAGAGATCATAAAAACGTGCACTCCTGCTTGCCTTTATATAGTCTGCTTTAAATTATGTATAAAAAGCAAACATGCTGAGAGCTGGCACAGAAGATGGGATCCTAATGCAGTGTACAGTGAAATACAATCACTGCAAAGGCAGCACGAAACTGGGAAGGAAATTGCAGCCCCCGGGACTGTGAAGCCGCTGCTCCATTAGAAAATCTTTTCTTATGAGTCAGGCCCTAACAAATTAAAAGATTAAATTAAAGGTCATGAGATTTTAGGAAAATAATCAAAGCTGGTATCTCCATAATGGCATTTTGGGGTTTAAGTGTTTGGGATGCATTTAGGCTGCGTTTTTCAGCTGGCTAATGCAGACAGGAGGGCTTAAAAATTCCTCGTTTTGGAGCACTAATCATCTGCCTCTGGTTGCTGGGGCTTCTCAAATACATAGATTTGTGCTGAAGTCAAGCGGGCTGAGAGCAACCCATGGCTTCCTCCAGTGGAGCTCAGTGCTTCTTAGAAATGACTGGGGATTTACACCAAAATAAAGTTCCTCCCCTCTTGTCCCATTTCTCCTGGGGAGGAAAACGTTTTGGGAGCAGAAAGGGCAGATTTGGGATGGGGATGTGTAGGGCTGTTGGTGCAGGAAACCACTGTGCTTGTTCCTATTGAGTCAGGATCTGTCGTCCCTGTCTCCCTATAGTGGAACTAACCAGGACTTGACACTGATGTCAAGATGAAAAACTACTTGGCAACCTACCCAGAAAGCAAATTCAGAGGTCATGGCAGCAACCACAGCACCCTCCTGTCCCCTCCCGGGTGCTATGCACAGGCTCAGCTGCACAAGTGGGTGCGCTGGGGTTGGGGGGCACGTTCTTCATTCCCTATCTGTCACGGGCAGAAAGAGAAGCAGGCAAATTCTATGTGTGAGGTTGAAGAGGTGTGAGGGGATGAGTGTGGCCAGAAGGAATGAGCATGGGCACTGATGGGGTCATGCTTTGCCTTTTCCCAGGAAGTCGACATCATCAAGTCCTGCCAGGAGAGGATGCGGCAGCACCTGGATAAGGCGCAAGCCCAGCTCATGTAAGGAGGAGCTCCTTATCTCACGCTGCAGGGCTGATTGGCAGCTCTGATGTGCACCCCCAGCAGGTCCCTACCTCTCCCCACACTCTGCAGGCACAAAACCCCTGCGGGCTCCATGGGATGCTAGCAGTAATGCTTGTGGGAGCACATAGCTGTCCAGGCGGGAGCTGTGGGGAAAGGGGTAGGAAGGAAACCATTCCGCCCAAGCTTCCCCACTGATGGCTGGTGTTTGTGTGTTGAAGGTCCAACAGGGGGGCCCAGCACGACCTGGAGAGGGACCTGGTCAACAAGCAGGCAGCCCACCGCATTGATGACAAGTGCCATCACCTGAGGAACACCTCTGATGGGATCAGCTACTACCAAGGGGTGGAGCGGGTTGATGCCACGTGAGTACACACTGTGCAGCACACGGGTGTCAAGCTGGCCACAAGGGACACGATGCCTTTCCTTAGCAGGGAGCTGGTTTCCACCAGCCCACTATAAAGGCATGTGTCTATGCATGGCACATCCATCCCGCTTGGGGACACCAACCATGGAGGACCCCTGTCTCTCCACTCATCATAAAGGGAGAACAGCCCTCTGCTTTCAGCTGGATGCTGAACATCCTGCAGGCAAAAGCAAGTCGAATATCCCGTCGAAAGCAAGTCCCACCTAATTAAACATTATACCAGGGTTCAGAGATCACCCTGAAAAATGAATTCAGCCCAGCACCTCTGCACAGCTCATTAAGTTAATGCATACTTCAAGGATGTGTCAGTGCTTGCCTGAGTGCACATCATTGATGTAAAGTCAGGGGGGTTCACCCCTGCTTGGAGAGGGCCTGGCAGGGAGCCGAAATGACACAGGAGATAAAGAAATAGAGAGCACAGTCCTGGGACAGAGTTCAGCTGCTTTTGGGTGCCAGTAATTCGGCTTTGGCTCTGCAGTAAATGAATGATGACCTCAACCAGCACTCACAGGGATATGCCCTAAGTGGCAAAGGGCTGAGGGAATAACTCTGCTGCTCACACAGACACATGCAGTTTATGGTGGGGCATAGATTGATTCAGTTTTTCTAATGTTTGAATAATTATTCACAGTGGAGCTCAGACATATTTAGACAGGCAAATAAATTGCAAAGGATTGATGCTAAAATTCAGAGGGGGGTAAAATGTGCCGAGAATCAGCATGTTTTAAATGGAGCTTATGTGGTATTTAAGTCTTTTGTTGACCTTGTTCTGGACTATTGCACAGGCGTGAGCTTCATCCTGAATGCACAGACAGGGAATGGAATATTATCTAATGCTCACTCGGTTTAGTGTGAAACTGAGATGAGTTATGAGCAAAACAAATCGACTGTGTGTTGTGTAGCTGGGAATCACTAGGCACTTAAATGCCTCCAATGTGTAAATATGAGGCCTGATTAATATCTCTATTTTTTTCTGGGAAAATCTTTTGTTTGAGCTTTCGTAAGTACCACAGCTGTCCTCGAGAGCATGTCATCATTTGATAAGCATTACTGAACAAATAATGTCCAGATGTTTCACTTTCATCTGGTCAAATAAAGAGCACAGATTTAATCGACATTAAACCACACTGGTCCCATGGCAGGTCCTCTGCCTGCCCATGGGCTCACCAGGGCTTCTCCTTTCCCCTCCCAGGATCACGGTGCCAGAGACATGGGCCAAGTTCACAGACACCAACATCTTCCGCTCCCAGCGTGACCGGGCAGCCTCTGCCAAGGTGCGGGACAACATCGAGACCATGCTGGCAGTGACGGCCAATGAGATGTGGAAGCAGTTCAACACGGTCAACATCGCCTTCACCAACCGCATCTCCGAGACAGCTGATGCCAAGAGCAAGATTCAGACTCACCTGGCCAAGGTAGCCTGAATTCCTCCCTTTCGGTGTGACACCATCATTTCTAGTGATGCTGATTGCATCTCCTGGTAGTTATTTCAGCCTGTGTGGGGTTCACAAGCTTGCTTCTCCCCCAGAGACATGCTTTCAGTCTCAGCACTATGAGTCTGCTGCATGGTTATCCATGTGTTTTTCTCTGCCAAGCAGAGATCAGTGATGGGCACCTGGCTCGGGCCAGTGGGTCTCATGGAAAGCCTTCTGGAAAGTGCTCAGCACAGTATTGATTAACCGAGCAGAGACTGGGCTTGGAGCACTGTGGACTGATGCCACATCCTTAAATGAGGACCCATTAAAAACTTTCCCTCTGTTAGTTGCTATTGATGGACAATCAGTTCCTGCAAGCAGTAATTTTGGGAAGCTGGTTATTCAATAGATCCATCACTATTCCAAAACCTCCTCTGATGTGACAGCAACACCAATGAATGGCTTTTCCCGAAGAGAAGTCTCTTCTGGATCTGTGCCTTGGTATGTGGCAGAGTGACAATGGTTTGAGCCCAGGGTTTGCTTATTGAACATGGCTTTTTCTGCAGACAGACAAGAGAAAAGGGAAATGATTTTGTCATTTGAGAATGTTATTTTTAATTTATTATTTCTCATTCTTAATTCACGCATGTGTTTGTTTTCCACGCCAGACTCTGCAGGAAATCTTTCAGCTTGAGATGAACATAGTAGCCATCCGCAAAGCCATTCGGGACAAAAGAGCTCCGTTGAAAGTGGCTCAGACCCGGCTGGATGAGCGCACACGGAGACCAAACATGGAGCTGTGCCGGGACTCTCCCCAGCTCTGGTAAGGCAGGAGCACAGGGTCCCCAGGGAGCATCACTGGGTGACAAAATTGGTTTTATTTCTTTTCCTAAATAGTCCTTCTATAAGCTCATTGATATAATCAGAAGCAGTGAGCAGGTATCCCAGCCTTTGGGTGCTCTGCACCCACAGAGGCTGTACACCATGGCTGGGTCCAGCTTGATGCCACCTCATCAGGGGCTGAGTTTTTCCACTTGGGTAAACCTCATCGTCTTTCGTGCCTGCTTCCCAACGGCTTGAGTGCTCAGTTTTGATGGATAAGCCCTTTATTCTCCACCAGGCTCGTGCTGAGAGCATTTAGCTCCTTCCTTTTGGGTAACTGCAAGAAAGGGTGCACCATATGGAGAAGCAGTAAGGGTTGTTCTACCGTCCACTGGGGACACTGGAAATCCTTTCAAAGACATTGTGAGCTCTTTGGGATTGCACCCCAAGAGGCTGTGGAGAAGCAGGGTTCCCTGAGTGCCCAGCAGCACCCCCTGTGAGGGACCGCAAGCCTCACATCTCCTGGAGCCCTCTGGGCATGGCTTTATGGGAAGCCTCTTTTCAAAGGCCATTTAAACCCAGCCTGTTGAGCATCTCCAACTCACCACTGTGTTTTCCATCATCCACTTGTTTCACATTCACTTTTAGCCTCTCCCAGCTGTCCTTTGTCACTATGTGTGCACCTATAGGTGCAGGGAGGACCCTTGAACAGGGAAATCCAGGAGGGTGAACCAACAAACCCTCAAAACCAAACAGGAAACCACATCACTCTTCTCGGTGGCATGAGCTGCTCCAGGAGATGTGGCTGTGCATTGCTAAAGCCATAGAGCAAACCATGCCTCCCCACTGACGTCCAGAGGATCTCTGCCCTCATCTTTCCCATGCATCAGGCAGAAATGGGGGGTCAGAGTTAGTCTGAACAGGCTGAAGGGGGAAATCCTGTGCCCAAGGGGCCTGTTAGCAGCAGCATGGTGGAAACCACCCCTGTGACAGGACAGTTAACGGGGTTTCTTGCTGTCTTCCAGCCTTGTCAATGAGGTCTATGAACTTGATGAGACAATTCAGAACCTTCACCAGCGGCTGAGAGACGCCGAGGACACGCTGCAAGCACTGGTTCGTGCCAAGTCAATCCTGGAGCATGACCTGTCCGTCAAAGCCCACTCCCTCTTCATTGACGAGGAGAAGTGCATGGGGATGCGCAAGACCTTTCCCATCATTCCACGGCTGATGGGTTACATTTAGGCTGGGCTCTGCCAAACTCACAGTACCTGCAGCCAGAGACATTCCCAGTTTTGCTAAGATGCTTCCAAAACACACTATTAAACTTTCCCTTCCTGATGGCAGCCCTGAGTAGAGATTAAACTATCACTTGGTGTGTTCTATGGTTTATCAGGATTATTTCTTTTTCCTTTGTTTTTTGTCTCTTTCCGTTGCCAGAAAACAGCTGAAAATACCCTGTATGCAACTAAGAGTAAATCCACCCATGGGGATTCATTCCTACGCTTGCAGTCTGTGATTTTAGGGGAAAAACTTCCATGCCTTCCTCCTTTTGAGGCTGTCTGATGTGGGAAAAGCACAAGGGGAAGTAAAGCTGCTTGTCAGAGTAATTAACTGTTGACATCCATAATGTATGTTTAATGGTGCAGCGTTGCAGTATGCTCTGTTCCTAAACAGAAAAAACTTGCATTTTAAGCTGATTTCTAATGATAATTTCTTAATTTTAAGAAAGAATTTACATGTCACCTAAATGTCTTCAAATCAGGAAGGACTTTCAGCCAGCTAACTGAAGAAACTGCTGTGGGTTTCACTTTGGTGAGTATGGATTGGTTCCCAATGTAACCTCTTGCATGCAGTTTGCTGGGGGAAGCACCAAAGCACTTTGAAGATAAAGAGATGCATCAGTCTTGCCCAGTTGCCACGGTACCTGGTCTCTTGTTGCAAGTCAGACCTATTTTACCAAGCGTTTGAACTTTCAGAGGGGTAAGTATTTTATCCACCTGAGGTTCAGCATGAAATTCACTTTGCAAATTGTCTCCTTAGGCTCGCTTAAACACTCTTGAATCTTTAAATCAAAGCAAAGTTGAGCTCAGCCTAAAGCCTGCAAGCACCAAGAATCCCAAAGGAGCAGAAGCTCAAGTCCCTTCTCCTCCCTCAGGAATCCAGGGCATGGACTTCCTGGCCCAGTATGGGGAATTCTCAGGAGCTGAGAGCATCTTTCCTCGTCTTGCATCCCCAGATGACTCCATCTCCCAGCACAGCTCCTCTCAGACCTGCCCTTCTGCTCTCCCAAGGAGAGCTGGAACCTGCACCCATGCCCTACCCAGCCTCAGCATCTCGCCAGGATCTCCCTTCACAGCAGCAGCCCTAAACAGGAAGCAATTGTCTTTTTAACCATGTTTTTTACTAGCGCATCTGTCTCATGGAGACTAAAAATAGATCTCCTCTATTTTGTGTGTATCTTGGAGCTGGAGCCCCTTGGAGACAGCAGCCACCCTTTCCAGGGAGAACATAAAGCCATAAGCAGGAAAAACTCTGCAGCTCATCACACCTTCCCTTTCTCCACTTATCCCAAAGTAAGCCTTCGGCATACTGAACCATCAGGACTTGCAGTTTTTGATAGCATCCTTGCAAGCCTTTGTGCTGCTACTCTCCCCATGCTCATTTCCCGAAGGCTTCCACAGACCCTGGTGATTTTGGCTGTGCTGCTGCTCTTTTGAAGCCCTGCTCCAGATGGCTGCTTTTCAGGCAGAACTCTTTTCTTATTTGAGAAATGGGCCCTGCACATTTGTCCCCAGCTGAGCACTGGGAAGCAGAGGCACCTGCAGTCTCCTTCTGGAAAGCATGAGCCTTTAAGTAACTTGAGCAAAGTCCTGGCACCAGCGGCAGCTTCACATTTGTTTCACTTCCACCTTCAGTTTTGAGTCATGAAATAGCCGAGTTCTGTTTTACCACGAGGGCACATCAGTAACAGTCAGCACCCAAAGTCTCTTCTCCAGTTTTGCTTTCAGAGCCCCCCAAACACTCATCTTTCCCGGTAGCCTGACTCTTTTAAGGCTTTCTCCTAATTGAGAGCATTTATGTGGCGTCGCAGTTGCCCAACTAAATGTTATCGTGTCCTACCCACGATGCCTCTTCACACAATACTGGCACTGCATTTCTTTCCTCCATTTGAGCTGTGACCAGAGGAATTTCAGTTGCAGCTTCTCTCATTTCTTTCACAAACATTTTCCGCTTTCCTGCAGCAGATTTCCCAGACATTAGAGAATTCCCTGGTCCCTTTGGGGTTTCATTCCCTCCAAGCCAGTTTTCCACACGTCGACAATATTGATGTTAAATCTTCTGGTAACTGATACTCTGAAATCCCCCCCAAGCACTTTGATTGTCTAATTCTGCATGTGCTTCAGTTTGAGTCTTCTTTTTCCCTCTTGCACTGTGTCCTGGGCACATCCCATGACGGGAACCAGCCCTGCCATGGAACTCCTGTAAAATGGGCCTCTAGGGAGAGGGATTTGTGGGAAATTCCAACAGACACGGGGCTTGTGGCAGGATCTCCGGCTCAGGGATGGATTTGCCTCCCATGACTGAACTGCTCAATTCAGTCACTGCAGGGTTGGTTTTGGGGTTGCAGCTGAGCAGCCTCTATGGTTGGTTATATACCAGGGGCATTAAACAACCGTCCTGTCCGGCCTTCCTCCTTCTGGTGCACAAGATGCTCTTGCGCCATTACATGCTTTCACAGACCACTTGTAAGTAGAACCCCCATTTGTCTCAGCTGCTTTTCTACACTGATGTGATGTTTCCTTTCTTTCAAATGCCCTCAGGCTGAAGAATGTTGTGCCTGCTTTTACTGGTTTATTGCTGCCCTTATCAGCCAAGTTGCTGAGAGAGTCAGTTTGTGGAAATTCCTTTGCATCCCACAGCCATATTCCCACCCTCCTGCATCATCCCAATAAACCCTGCAGGGCCAGGTTTGTAAACTGATTGTTTCCTAACTGGAGGAGAGGAAATAATAAAGCCAGGACAGGGTTGCTTCATGCAAGCTAAGCTTCATGCCAGTCCAGGATCCAGTTGAACAGTCAAGGCCAGTCTATCGAGACTTCTTGTCTAAGGAAAGAAAAACTACTGAATGCCCTGGAGGACTCTGTTATGAATGTGGGTGAAATGAAAGCTTGCCAAGAACCCATGTTAATGGTATATTGCATAACTAATGCAGATTATTATGCTCAAGGGAGAGAGAATTCCCAAAACAGCATCAGTAGTCAGGAAAAAAAACCAAACTCATGATTATAATGGAAGAAAAAAAAGTAAAAAGGAAAAAATGGAGAAAACTTTGGCAAAATGCTGAGGAAAAAGAAATAAGGAAAATAGGGTCATAGAAATACCGGTGCTAGCTCAAACTAAAGTCCAGCAAGCACTGGATTCATCCTCTAACAGAGCCAGTAGGAGATGCTTAGATAAAAGCACCAGGACAAGGCAAGCCCTCTGTGATACTTTCCCAGTCCACTTTCCCAGCTTCCAGCAATTAGTATCTCGAGGACTTCCTGAGCTGACAGGGCTGTCCTTGGATTTAATATCCCCCCATGGATTTGTTTCACACGGTCTTGATCCAGTTCTTTGAGCCCGTGCAGACTTGTAGCATCACTGTGTCCCTTAACAGGGAGCTGCAGGGGAGGGAGCACCATCACCCTCACAGCATCAGTGGCCACTATTGGGACCATGGAGGAGGCTGAAAAAGGGACCATACCTGGGGCTGCAGCAGCCAAAGGTGTAAAACTCAATAGCTTGGGCAAAAAAGGTGGCTCAAAACTGGCTTAAATTTGTAGGTTCAACACCGGAGCTCATAGTGGGTTGTGTCCTTCTATATGCTGTCAGGGTGCAGGAGATGAGCACAAATCAGTGTCTGAAAGCATCTAACATGTTCTGACACAGTCATGTCCCACTTGGGAAGCTCAGTTGATTTCATTGGGGTTTTGGAGTCAGTGGGTAAATTTTGGTTTCATTGAAGCCAGTGGGATTTTCTCCAGTGATTTCAGCCTGACTCTATCAGTGATGACAACTGCTTTGGAGCTGAAAGCAAGAGGTTGGATGACATGGGGTTTTGGGCATGAATGCAGACAGGACTAAAATGTTTCGTAAATTCCTCTTGGTTTGGTGGAAAGCAAATGTCAGGAAAAGGAAGTAAATGTCTCCAAGATGCATTAGACCTCTTGTTTTAGAAGTTTGCTCAATATAAATGCCTCCCCTCCTGGTTTTTTAATGCTTGACGTGGCTTTTCAGATAGCTATTCCAGTGGCTCGATCAGAAAAGGTAAAACCCACACTCTCCCAGTGCATTTTGATCCAAACAGTGGAGAAAAGACCCATTTCCCTTGCAGTGACACCTCTTCCTTGGGCACAGCAGCTGCCTCCTGCCTGGCTGAGACCCAGCTTGGTGCATGCCCCTCTGTGTGCTGGGGAAAGGGCAAGACCCTGGCAGCCCTTTGAGCCCTGCACTTGCTGCCAGCAGGGGCTGTGCTCTCAAGGTGGAGAGAGTCCTTCAGCTGGAAATACTCATTTAGACAGTTATTTCTCTCTATGTGCATTTGTATATATACAGATAGGCGCATATATATATATGTATATATGGGGGGCACTATAAGTCTCTGTAAAATACAATTCAAACTATTATCTTACTCTTCTTCTTTTCCTAATTACACAGTTGTTTGGAAACAGGATTTTTCCTCTCCCATTATCCATTATGAGCTGCAGGCTCACTGATGGCAGTCAGATTTCTGTCCCTTCCCCTTTGCATTTCAAATCCTAATGGTCTTCATCAGCAGGGTAGGGAACAGGAAGCGAGGCCCTAAAATTGTTATGACAGAGCGAAATCTTGGGGTTAAACAAGTTCATCCCCAAGAAGACACCCAGACAAAAACTTGTCTTTTTGTGTAGCTTGAAAATGCTTAAGAGAGGTTTCGTTCACCTGGGCTGGGGAATGGAATGGTTGGTGTACACGTCTGCTGGACCACTGGCAGAGCCCATGGTGCCACAGCTGGAGTGAAATGAAACTTAGACCCTTTTCAGCAGTCCACAAAGTCCATCACTGTCCCTTAAAGTAATATAAAACCCACTTTCCCTTCTGAACTCTCATCATTTTAGTCTAGAAGTTCAAGCTGAAGCATTGTAAGTTTTAAGTGATCCCATGGAATAGACTCGAAGTGAGAAATCCACATGTTTTTACCCCGTGTTTATACAACCCATCAATCTTCCACTATTCCCAGCACAGCCTGTGGCCAATCTGGTTTGTACACAAACCAGTTTTCAAATGTATTGTGGCACCTGCTTTTATTTAGGCATTGATGACCATTGCCAGCCATGCTCAGATGGACAAGGTGGCTTTTGAGCTCCTCAGTGGGCAGC